GAATGTCTAGCGAATATTTCATTAGGTTGCTTAACAAACGTATTCCCAAGAATTTTTATAGCTTCAGTGAAAGAAGAACATTCGCTTACTGATTCATAAACGGTCAAACCAATGTAGTTTAAAAGCAGTTGTAGTTTGTCTTCGTCAGCAAGACCCTTTTCGGAACTAGGAACAGATCCTAAGAAATTTTGAAATGTCTTCGACCAACGTTTCCATTCCTTGGCAGAATTTGGAGAGTTTGGATCTGCTTCAAACCTCTCGGGTCGTAAGTAATTATCCATTTTCGTTTCGTTAAATAAATTGTAATAAAGTAAACCTTTGCAAACTACATTTCTGTCCTTTTTTAATTAACTGTAGTTGGCAGGACGGACGTGACTAAAGTTGATTTTCTAGTCAATGTAAAATGAAGTAATTTATTTTAAAAATTGGTGGAAAGAATCAAAATAATGTGAAAAAAGTACCTGAGTACAAATAACATGAGTAACAAAAAATATTAAATCAAGATTTACTTCGTTCCACATTGTAAAACAGGATGCAAATCAAATATAAAACTAAATAAAACACAAGGAGAAATCAATTCAATGTCTTTTTGAAGCTTCTAATGCAAGTAAAATACTGTGTTTATGTCAAAATATAATATTTATTGTAAACTAGTCACAACACGTATCACGGAATGTAGTTTATTTTATTACAAGTTTCTATAAAATAAAATTTTACAAACAACAATAATTATACATTAAATTTAAATTTGTTTTTTTATAGAGTTTTAATGTTAGATAAAAAGTTGCTACTGTTATTTTTTTATTGAACCCCAATTTTGTCATTGTAAATGTTTTTTATAGAATCCTAAACGCTTAGAACAGTGGCAGCATATATATCGTTCCTAGAGCCGATAGCACTTTCAAGAGATGATGCTGTCCTACACTTTTAAAAGATATTTCCAAATATTATGAGACTGTTTTTACTGGTGGTACTGTTAGCAAAATAAAAAGGAGATAGCCGATATTAAAGGATGTGGCAATATCATATACATTCCCAAATCTCCCTGTATTATAACAATAAAAAATCTTTTGTTTTATTTTGCTACTATATTTAGGTATAATTCCAAAAAATTTAGAAACAAAATTGTACTTACCAAATCTCACCATTATCAATTTTTTTCGAATTGGATCATAACTACCTAAATTGCATTTTATATAGATAAAATTAAATATTTTATCAATTAAAACATGCAATACTTATTTATAAATAAATACAACAGTATATTCTCTGCTTTATTTGGCAATAAAGAAGTTTATTTTTATTATTTTAACAAAATTATGTTAAATTCCCATAAGAAGCCATGTATTTTGAATAGCGGTACTAGCACCAGCGCCCTTGCGGAGAATTAGAAAAGCTCAATTAGACTTCGTTTTTTGGGACCGTATTTCGAGTATACCAATTCGCCTCCTTATCTCTAGTCTGCATACACAAAACATCTGTCAGAAGTAAAATTTTATGGACCACGAACTTCCAAACAAGGACTTTTTCAGGGATCTCCACTTAACCCTATTTTGTTTAATTTCTATATATTATCTTTATTAAATATTATACCAAAAACCTTTATGACATTGTAATTTTGGTTAGTGGAGAGAATGTCTTCAATATTATTATAGAAATAAACTCTTTCATTATTGCTTTTAAAGATTGGCTGGATGAGCACAATTTCAAATTGTCTGTAACTAAATCGTCGGCTATCCTTTTTTTTTAAGGTCGTGTTAAATTAATCCTCCCAAAAATTAAATTTATTGACACAAACATTCACTGGTCAGATTCATTTAAATATTTAGGCGTTTACATTCATAAACATTTAAAATGGAATGCACATATAAATTACATTGAGCAAAAAATTAACAGAGGTTTAAATGTCATACGAGCTCTTTCTGGTACGTGTGTGGGGCAGTGATCCAAAAATCCTTCGCATAATACACAACGCTATCAAGTCATATAGATTATGGATGCCAGGTAATTTCGCCATGTCTGAGTTATTTCCCCAGTGATCGATCGCGACCACCTTTTTCGCTGTCCCGCAAAACTCTCCTAACCGACTAAAAAAAAACCGACTAGGTTCGATTTCGCAATGCTTCCAAAATCCTCGAGTCAGTGCAAAGTTCATTAGTTTTTAACTTAATTGTTTTGTAACTATGAAATGCATTCTCTACGATTTAAAAGTATTTCGAAATTGACCTACTATTCAGAAATAATTTAACATGCAGGATGTTAAATTATTTACTGAGCCGAATGAAAATATTAATTCAATTTAAGGAATAATTGTGACAATATCAGAGCTTACGTGTCATCACTGGTTGTATGAAATCAACCCCAATTTATGCTTTGCAAGCAGAGAGTGGGGATATTCCCTTAAAGTTATGGGGAAATAACCCTGTCATTAATTTGTTAAAACCTTTAGCAACACTAAATAAAGGAAGAAATGTTTACAAAAAGGCAACTGACACTCCAGTATTATTAAGTTTAATAAACCAAATGAAAGAGTTCCTTCCAAATATGTATTCTAATAAATTGCTACCATGCCATGAATTTGAATTGGCCATCCATTTCTCTTCAATTCTAGTTTTACATCTTAGATTAATTAGGAATGACACTTATGGCTTATCCATTTTTACTGACAAACAAGCTAACCGGTTACACAAAATTCTTCATCGACGGATCTGTGAGACCTTCTAATAATTCAGGCTTCGGAGTATTTTCTCCAGACCCCAATTACGTGTTATCAAGCAGACTATCTCAACATACACATATATGTACTACAGAAATTATTGCAATTAACCATGCCTTGCAAATCATTTTCGAAAAAAATATCTTGAATTCAGTATATTTTCTCGGACTCCAAATCTGCTTTACAAAAAATTAGAAATATGAAATTCTCTACAGAAACTGATCATTGATCCTTTCTTACAAAACAAGGTATCTTATTTGCTAATATGAATAATATACACATCACTTTGGCATGGATTCCACGGCACTCCGGCATTATTGGCAACCATAAAGCCGACCAATTAGCAAATATAGAAAGAATCCTTAAAATTCCTGTAAATATTAAACCTAATAAGTCTAACTCTTTATCCTTCATCAAACAAGAAATTTGGAACAAATGGCTTCAACAATGGAATTCACTAAAAGAAAACATCTTTTTACTTCCAAGTGGTCCCTGAAACACCCAAAACTCCGTGGTTTAATAGTAAACAATATAATGAAGTAGGTACCTTTCCACAATCATACGGATAAGAACTGGCCGTTGTCTAACCCCATATCACCTATTTCGAATTGGAATTAAAGATGGCCCATTTTCCGAGTGTGGAGAAGTTGGATCGTTAAATCACATTATCTTAGATCTCCCCTTTTTGATCTGTATTTTTAAGACGTACCTTAGAATTACCAAACAAGTAATACTTAGTGATACCTAAACACAAAACATCTACATATGAATCTTTACTAACTTACCATCCTACCAATGTATTAATTTATATAATCACTCCAAGTAACTTCAAAACCTTGATTAATTTAGTTTAAAAATCTAATGAAAAAAAGGTGTGTTGAGTATATGCAATAATTAAGTGTGTGATTACAGAGTGCTTATATTGTGAAATAAACATCAATTCTGTTTATATTTAACTTTATTAATGGTAGGATATATTATCCCATAATAAATGTGATCCGTATATAATTGTATTTTATGATAAAAAAGGAACATCCCCTAATTTAACGCACATAATATATCACCATATAAATTCAATAAACTGTCCACAATAAAGATAAATTAAATTATTTTATTTTAATATATACATTTTGGTCCGATATCTTTCCAGATATTTTCTTCACACAAAGCACAATATCGCTCTCGAGAAAAATTTGATATTTCATTAACAGAATGAACCAATACCAGTGGGCATAAGTGAGTGTACATTTTTACGTTTTTATACCTGCTTTATGCTTGTACCGATCCGGTCTGGAATGTGGATAGATGACAGACTAATGGCGTTTTCCATTAGCACTGGCAGTACTCACTGAGTATATTTGTATCCTTGTTTATCGATATGGAAAAGAAGAAAGTAAGAATACACTCAGATCGCACTGAACTTTCCAATGGAAAACGCTAATAGACTTCTGAACGTCTCTGATAGCGTGCAGCCATTTTGACCTAAACACTACTAGTTTTGTTTCCAAAATGTTATATTCTGGTATTTGGAAATTTTAAATGGATGCAATAAATAAAAAAAAATAACCAAGACGTTACATTTGAATTTAGAATTATTTTCCTGATTTAAATGTTGATCTAGTTTTTAAACTGGATACTACAAGGGAGCTTTAATTATCCTTACTAGTGGAAACACCGTTACTATGTAATTTCTTATTCTCACTTAACCTCCAAAAATGTAGGCGAGTGAATGTAACGCATCTGTAGACTCAATTAGGGACTGGATTTGGGAATATTTATTTCTTCCTGATGAGTCCGAATAAGGATAAAGCCGGTCCGAAAATGATGTTCCCGTTAGTGTTTTTTCAGTTTTGTAAAAATTGAATTAGGAACACAAAATGACATCGAATATATAATTTATCAGAATACGACAAAAGTATTTTGCATAGGTACACAAATATTTCTAGCGCCTGGTCTAATATACGGTATTAAAATAGTTGAAAGTAAATAGTAAAAATTGGATGATTATTTTATTTGTTCTTTCAAAAAACTAATTTACCATTTTTTGCAAAGTAAAAGGAAATGTTAAAAATGTACTATTATATCTACAGGGCTAAACAAATAATAATTATTAAATTTTAAAAGGCCAGTAGATATAATAGAAATATTATATTTTATTCGTAGACAAAAAGCATGATTACCAAAAATCAGCTAATTATGAATGTTTTAACAGTTGTAGAAAATATGCTTAGCCTAAACAAATAATCACAAATATTTAAAATAAAGTAAAATTAAAACATGAATAATTTGGTTGTATTAACTAGATATTTTACTTGCAGACATCACACAGTAATCTAAGTTATATATTTTACTTCCCTTGACACTACCATCAATTAATAATTCGTTATTAATTAAGTTAAAAAGTAATTCTTTGTATTCATCCAATTCATCATCAGGAATGTTAGGAATCGCCGTGTTAATAGAAATAAAGAATCCTAAAAACATTAAAAACATTGTAAAATAAGAATAAATCTTTTGAAGTGTACCTACCTTTCCATTCTTCTTCATTAGAAAACGTATAAGATGTTTTTTCAACTGAGAAATAATACTTAAATCCTGATCTATCTAATGCCTGCTGATAGCAATTTTCTGGCGATGCTGCAGAACTGTAGGATGATAACATTTGCTCGTGTCCATATTTTCCCCATTTTTCATGTTTGCAGAGCTTTCTATAGACGGAATCCGTCGGAAGAAATGGAAGAAACACATTAAAAGTTCGTCCATTTGGTTTTAACATAGCGTGGATATTTTTAAAAGCCTGCCTATAAAAATATTCTGTAATTATGTTTTTTGCTTAAGATTCCCTCACTAAAACATAATCAAGGGGATAAATTTAGAAACCCAAATGTAACCAATTTACACGTAGACATGATAGTGGTCAAAACAATCCAAATCAAGAATGGCTGCTTGAAAGGAACATGGACCAAGCTACTGCTGCAAACTAAGTTAAGATTTATTCGGCAGTAAAACTACATCAATCCTGATGTATGCCTCCACGGCTTGGGGGTATACGTCCAAACAAACAGGTTCTAAATTTATTACCTTATTTTAATTGTTTCCATTGCTTTAGGGTTAAAGTGACGATCGTACAATAAAAAAAGTATCCCCCTCCACACTAAAATTTTTAAAATCCACGATATTATTACTCAAATTTTCGTTAGGCCACCTTCTATTTTATTCACAGCAATGATTATTTTAATTTTATCTAATATTTTTGCAATTATTGGATCGTTGTGAACAAATTATTATTATTATTATTATAATTCTAAAAGTTTATCTATCGAAAGAAAAAAATTAGAAAAAGTTTTCTGTAGGTCCAGTCCAATCCAAAATTTTTCAACCAAAATTGGACATCTTAGATATATCACCATCCCTTTAAAAATTAATAACAAGTACATAACACACACATATAAAAAGCTAATAATGGTTAAAAATTAAACACGTTTAATTTGGGCCATAGTGTATCTAGACATATGGTTTTCCTTGACATGTATCTCGTAAACCGTTGGTAACACAAAGTTGGTTAAATGAGGAAAAGTTGCGTATTTCGAAGCCAAATCTGTTTTCAAAATGATATATCCAGGCCGGTTTCCAAGATATTCGATAAAATACAAATGACTGCCATTTGTTTATTCCACTACAGTTTATTTGCAAAAATAGAAAAAAATTAATTGGGGTTTTTATTTTATATCAAGTTGTGCGTATGACAGTGTATTTAATTGCAGGACCACCATCAACTTCTTTATTAGAATATGGACAAGGTGTAACGGTTGGAACCATTTTCGTTATTTTGACACACACATCTCTACTCAAATGTCATTTGTTGTTTATGCCTTGTGTCAGAAGTTCCTAATTCATTCGATTTGTATCTGTCAACGAATCAAGTTGATTTAAATTTTAAATTATCTTGGATATCTGATATACTAATTGTGTTTTAATATTCTGATTTTGTAAGGCAAGTTTGAATACCGATATATTGTTGAAAGTATATATTTTGTACAAAGATTTCATAATTAAAATGTCAAATATTGTACATAACCTCAACACATGAATAACACACATGATAACACGTTTTATATAATTTTATATATTATTTTGTTTGGAGTAAGATATTATGCTCTTCTATGTTTAATATGTTAAATAAGATTTTTCCTTTTCATATTAATTTTAGTCTCTGCGAAATTATTCAGTTAATAGTTTTAAATTGTTCAATTATTAGTTAAAGCATTTTATCTGGGTCCTGTGCAAATTTCCTATTTCCTTTCTTAACATTTTTACCTTTTCCTTTTAGCTTGGTTATATCTAGACGGTTTATATCAAGAAGTTTATGAAGATTTAAGTTTATTGAGATTTATACCTAAGAGTTTGGTGCCATCTGAAGACCGAAGTTTGGTTCACCTATAGAAGATCATTCAAGTCCAGAATTGAGAATAAGAATCCTTTTGAAAAAGGCCTAGAATTCCATACATCACTCCTTATATACCATCTCCTGTTACAACAGATAAGTTTTCTTTAAATAAATCATCTAGGCAAAAAGTCATTTGACAATGCCCAGCAGGGTTTGCTGGAGATGCCGGGCTTGAGTGCCCATCATTAGGCAACTCTTATGATGGTCACGAACACTATTAGGAAATACTTGACCTTTCAACCATACTGAACATGTTCGACTTTTTGGCCCAAAGCCGTCTAAACGTGATCATATTAGCATCGTTGTATGAGTTTTCCGCCCCGTTTTCACACTTCTCGAGTATCGGCCAAATGGGACCTTTTTTGGCCGATAACTCATGGGCCCATACCCTTGATGGGCATGAGTGAGTCCAACTTTTCCGGAGCCGACTCATCCAGGAAATCACACTTAGAAAAGTTTGGTTAAAAGGTCAATTTTTTTCCGAAAGTATTCAGGACCATCCTGTGAGTTGCCTAATGATGGGCACTCATACACAGCGTCTCCATCAATGACTGCTAATCATTCTGGAATAACTTTTTGGTCCAAGACTTTGAAAAAATAAAGACTCTAACCTTTTTGTATGTGTTGTTTCCCGGTGTCTACGATTTTTGAGGTTCGTCAAAATCGAGGCCTTCTATTGCAAATAACTCAAAATCCTTACATAGGATTTTGTTCCACCCATAAGGACTTTTGGTCAGGATGTCAAAAGCTCGCTCCCTACAAAAAATGGGACAATTTCGATGAAACCCAATTTCCATTGAAAGTCTGCGGGGTCCTTTGAATTAAGTAAATCTCTGTGAATTAGAATTTGTTACTACCTTATCTAAAACTTTGTTAAAATATAATATCTTAATGGTTAGTGATTTTCTATATTTTTATTATTAATCTATAGTCAAGTATAGTAAGTTTTAAATATAGTGGTCCCCAACTTCTTTTTCAAGGTAATACGAGTTATTTAATAACCTGACCCACCCCCAAAATCAATTGATCTTAAAATACTATAACAAATGGATAAAATAACAAGTATCACGTTAAAAAGGATAAAAAAGAAAATAAAAGGAGTAGGGAGGTATTTAAAAAATACTTGGACAAGTTATTTAAACAGATAAATCTTTCTGAAACTATGAGCCTCTGTGCTAGAGAACTAAAGAACGAGGAATCTAATACGTGGCTCGATGAAGCTACTGACTATACGGAAAATGCTGGTATGCAGGCTAAAAAATCATGCCCCGAAAAACAAGTAGAATCTATGCCAAAAAGAGAGATTACAATAATTGGCACTCAAGTAACAGAAACTGAATTGGAAAAGGAACTAGAAATGTCTAAACACGTCTTGATTGAAACAACAAAAGACACTCTTAGGGAAGATAAAGGATTTAATGAAATCTCTCAAGTATTAAAGGAAGCCTGGCCAGAAGAGGTATTTAAATGTACAAAAATAGACGACACAGATGTGTCTTCGCTTAATAAAGAAGGTGACATTGCTGTAATTGTAGACCCGCAAAACTTAAAAATGGACAAAACGATGAGAACGCTAGAGCTGATTCTCCCCGAGTTAGCCAACTTAAAGAAAGTGACGACAAAGTTGATGTTATCCTAAATTCAACCAAAACCGTTAATAAAAAAACAATGAAGAATCTGAAAAATTTCGTGCTGTGTACACTGTACCATGGGGAATGATACAAGAAGAAACAAAAAGTGTAGAGAAATTATACACACAGGTGAGAAGCTTGAAAGACGCTATAGAAATTCATCCAACCAGAAGCATTCACGTGGTTATCAACGGCGGTATGGAAAATGAGAATCCTAGAAAAATTTTCGAACATGTTTTCGGTGGTAGGAGCATAGATGATATAATGATGGGAACAATGCCGAAGGAACCAACCAAGCGAACCTTCAGACCTGGACCGGAAAGTATGGTTGGATTTAGAAAAAGTGAATGCGACCGAAATTAGAGTGCATAAGCAAGTAACATTGATACATATTAACGACCTAGACGCGATACGCAAGTCAAATAAATCTGGGAATCAATAGCGAGAGTAATAGTCTCTGAAAATAAAAAAATTGTAACTGTAAAGTCAGACCGAACAGAAACGGGGGACAAGCTGCCACGGTAGCAATACAAGAAAAGGACCTCGCAAAAAGAATAACACATGATGGTAGGATAAAAATAGGCTGGATAAACTGCGGCCTAAGACAACGTTTTTTCATTATGAGGTGCTATAGATGCCTAGAATATGGACATCACACGAAAAAGTGTAAAGGCGAAGATAACGCGAATCTGTGTAAAAACTGTGGTAAAGAAACCCATAAGTCAAGTGATTGCAAAGAAAATCCTTCTTGTTTGACATGTAAGATAAAAGGCCACAGAAACGATCAAATATCCTGTATTTAGGGCGTTAATTAAGGAAAAATCCGTAGGGGTAAATAAGAGGAGAGGGCCTATCGCTAAACCTAACTAAGTTTCAGAAATGGATGACGCAGTCACTTTAAAGGCACTGCAGGTAAATCTCGGAAGGGCGCGAGCTGCACATGATCTAGCGTTTGCTACCGCAGACAAGGAAAACATCGACTTAATTCTAACTAGCGAACCCAATAAGAACATTCTTAAAAAAGCTGCATAGATCGGAGAAAATAGGAAGTATGTAGGACTTTTTTGTCGCAGAAAAAACATAGGAGTTGTAGATTTTATCAAACTTAATGGAGCTGTATGTCTACTTTTAAATTTTTTTTATATATACTGCTATTATATTTTTCTTAATGAAATATATAAAAAGGATATTAATAACATTATGGGACGCATTATGGCTCAGCATAGGGAGGCTATTATATTGGTAGACTTTAACGCAAAATCTTCATTACGAAGATCTCCAACTGCAGACGCACGGGGCGCATACATAGCAGAATGGTTTGCCACTCTAGATCTTGCAGTCATCAATAGAGGAAATATACCTACTTTTGTCAGGGGAAAATCAAAAGTTTTATTGATGTGACCATGGCTACCACTAAAATTATAAAACAAATCAAGAACTGGCGGACTTCGACTGAAGAATCACTAAGCCTCCTTAGATATATAATCTTTGATATTATGACAAACAAACCAAAATTCAGAAAAGTAGAAGCGGCAAAAAGACATTAGACAAGTCCAAACTAAAAGAAACACTTCAAGTTAAACTCCATGAGCACCCCGCACCGGACATAAATGCAATTATCTGTATTCTCAAGAACACCTAAGCAAACTGTGAGTTAAGGCCTACAAATAACACACGACAGATGCCCTACTGGTGGAATAGTGACATAGAGTTTAAAAGAAACCAATGTAACGCAATTAGATGCAGGCTAACAAGATCAAGAAGAAATCAGGATGACGAAACTGAGGTGCTACAACTGCAATATAGGATCGTTAGGAAAGAGCTAAAACGACTGATAAATATGTGAAAAGAACTCTGTAATAAATTAGAACAGGATATCTGGAGACAATGATACAAGCTGGCTATGGCACTTTTAAATGTTCAAGCGGTGCTTTGCAACATAAGTAAAGAAAATAAAATGGAAATTATATGGGAGCTTTTTCCAAATGAAATAGATATCTGGGACAGAAACTACGTAATCCAGGAAGTTACTCCTTTCTCAGTTGATGAATTGACAACTGCAAATAACAGCCCGAAAGTGGGAAAAGCCGCAGGTATAGACAATATTTGACCAGAAGGCGTTAAAGAAGCGGTACAAGCTGCACATTATGTAATTCTTAATTTAATGAATAACTTGCTTGCACTCCAGTGATTTCCTCCGCAATGGAAACGTGCAAGAGTGGTGCTAATTCCTAAGGCTAAAACGGACAACATAGAAAGTGCTTCAACCAAATAAGCCCATATGTTTATTAGAATACGATGGGAAAACTATATGAAGCATTAATCAGAGAACAGATTATGAAGGAGCAGGAGGTAATCAGAGGTCTATCAGAAACTCAGTTCGGCTTCCGGAAGGTTCGGTCCCCAATTCAGGCCATCATGTGGTTGACAGACGCGGTTATGCGAACCAACAAGAAATGATGCGTGCTTATATTGCTGGATGTCAAGAATGCATTTAACACAGCTAAGTGGAGTCTAATAATAACTAGATTGAAGGCCTGCGCATCAGTGGCTATTTAGTGAACTACTTTTGTGGAAGAAAAATTTAAATAAACAAACAAAATGCCTTAGGAGTCTCGATGGGGGTTCCGCAGGGCTTGTTCCTTGGACTAACGCTGTGGAATGTATTGTACGACGGTGTTCTACAAATCGAGTTACTGGAGAATTGCAGAACTATTGCATACGCAGACGATCTGGCGGTACTGACAATTTCCTGATCCTATCACCTTATAAGACAAAGGCGGTAATTATGAAAGGGCCTAGAGCAAGTGAAAATATTAGTTTTATGATCGACGGTCTTGTCATCATTCCTCAATAGCAGGTTAAATATTTAGGTATATGGATAGAAGAGAAACTAAATTTTACAGAACACATTAAAAGCACAGTTAAAAGGGCAGACGAAAGTTTAATAAAACTAATGAAAATATTGCCGAATATAGGAGGACCATCATCGGTAAAACGAAAAGTCCTAGCAGGAGTTATCCAATCAATAGGCCTCTACGGGGCACCGGTATGGGGAAACGTAATGCAGCTTAAAAAATACAGGAGAATGGTGGGAACAATTCAAAGGAAGACGTTGCTGAGAGTCACATCAACTTACAGAACGACTTCGACAAAAGCTCTACAAGTTATCGCCGGTGTAACGCCTATAGACCTACGTACACATGACATTGTTCGTGATATACTAGAAGAAGTTAAGGGTCGTGATAGGGCTAGATCAGTTACTCAATGGCAAAAACGGTGGGAGAATACAAGAGATGTGGCACAATGGACCAAAACATTAATCCCAGACATAAAATCGTCGCTAGAATGTCGACATAAAATGACAAAGTATTACCTAACTCAGTTTTTCACGGGACATGGTTTATTCCGATCATACACATTTCGTATTGGGAGAGCGACAGATGAGATATGTCTTTACTGTAGAGAGGTCGATACTCCTGCTCATACAGTCTTTATATGCAATAGATGGGAGAGAGAACGGTTAGAATTTGTTACAGACTAGGGAAACAGATCAAAACTGGAAACTGTTACGAGGGAAATGACCGAAAACGTAAAACTTTATAAAACTAATTATGAAAATAAAAGAAGAGGACAGGCAGTTCCAATAAAGAAATACAGACAACACACGGATACTAAAGAAAGAGGATAGCCCGGTATCCTGAAGTAATATCTAACGATAGTCCCAGGATACCTGCGTGGCGAAAAGGGGGAGGTTTAGTGGGTAGACTAGCGCATGTGCTGAAATCCTACACTACCGTTGTTCACGGGAATAGCGGCGTCGTTAGAAGATTCCTCCTCCAAAAAAAAAGGTACTAAATAGTAATTTATTTCTCTAAAGAAAACTATCTAACATATCTTCTAGCAATTATAAATATTTGTGTTAGTTAAGGTTTCCGTCAATAATAATAGGACCAATTATTTTATATAATGGGGTCTTACTTCTTCAATTAAATGTGGGTTGTCGGTGGCCCAAAAATGTTTATTGTTTTTTTTTTTTAATAAACATTCTACTCTTAGTAAAAGTCGTTTCATCTGTCATGTAAGTTTCATTTAAACCAAGGGCAAAATTGTAATCTACAATTATAATTTCGAGGATGTAGCTTTTGTGCAGTTTGAAATTTGTTAATGTGCATGGTTTTTAAGGTATTTTTCACAGTATTTGCAGAAATTCCACATTCTCGGCTTGTTGCTCTGGATGACGTTTCAGAGTTAATATTAACTGGAGACACAATATTTATTACTGTATTACGTTTTAAGGCTATCAAATAATAAATTAATGAAGATTATTGTCTCATTTCTGAATACAACTTATGGTATCTTTTCGCAGCTTGTCCACTTTTTCTGTTACATTTGATGTACGCATCGTACATATATTTTTTCTCACTTCCACTGTAACGAACCATATTTTCAATATCCAAATTTAAAATAAAGCAAATATTTTATCAATGAAATGGAGTAGGGTAGGGTAGAACTGACAATGAAATAGTATATTATGCAACGATCATGTAATAACCATTACATGAGAGTTTCATACGCTATTTTTTCTACACCTGATAAATAATCAAGAACTGTAAATATTATATTTATGTTGGTATTGAATACAATAACAGTAATTACTCGTATTTCTATAAAAAAATCTTCAAAATTGTAATATGTGTGGAGGAGTCTTCTATATCGCTGATATTAGACATTTTGATAATATAATTATCGAAGTTTAGCCATCTACGAAAATGTTTAATACGTTTTGACATCTAAAACAAGGAGGACAAACGTCAAATGCACAGCATGCTTGATTGAAAAATTGTAGGTTTCTATTTATTAAAAATCTGTATCGTAATGAAAAATCTGTAGCATAATGTGTATCATTATGAAACGGATTATGGGCATATACGTGCATTATTATAATACGGGTGTAGAAAAAAGTTTACATACTATGCACAATTTCATTTTACACAGTTTGTAAACAACAGACAGTTTAAGAACATTTTGTGCAACAATTATACAATAGTGCGTCGGAATATAATTTATAGGTATAATTTAATATTCTAACGAAATCAAAGCATAAAAAATCACAAATATAAGCAAGTCAGTGAAGAACTGACGCCAAAACAAAGCTTACAACTCTTCTTGTCATTTGCGTGTGTAAGAGTGGAAGGTTGAATCATGAATGATTTTTACACTCGTCAAGGATGCCCAGACAGTACTTTATCATTCTACTTCATTAGCTTATCCAACACCAGACTGTCAAATACACAATAATAAAATGGGACATACCAGGTTAACTTGATTTAACTGTATAATAATCGGGACGTGCTACTGGATATGCAATTATATTAACTATTTATCTTCAGTTTCTTAACTTTTTTTTCTTATTTTTACGATAAGGAACCATATTTTTATTAATTAGTTTAAAAAATTCCAACAAAAAGTGATACACCAGGCTAACTTTACGTGTTTAAAAATCGGGATGCACTTTATAGATTTATATTGCGATGAAAAGGGCAAAAACGATAAAAACGGAAAACAGTTTTTAGCAACATTGTAAACGACCGGCTCGTGAAAATATTTCATGTTGTAAAGACTATAACGCAAGTTAAAAGTTTGACTTTGGTATTCAATATTCATAATTTCTTGAACCGATAATATATCATTTAGTAATGCAAACATTTTTACCCAACAAAATACAGCTCCATACTTGTAAACTTACCTGATGATGTCCAAATCTTCCGAAATGTTGACTAATTATGATATGTTGTTACATGATTGAATTCAGCATAGAACATGCATTAAAATTATGAGTAAGACCAATAGTGATCCATATTCCAATAAATAAATGGTATGTTTTTTATCGAATATCTCCAAAACCGTCCTTGATATTTTGATTTTCAAAACTTCATCAAATTTTTCTTCGAAATGTGCAACTTTTTTCCCATTTAATTAATTTTCTGTCATCAACACTTTAGGAAATAACAATACATTTCAATGAAAAAGTGCCCACTATGTATAAGAAGTGGTACTTTCCGTTAAATAAGGAGTGGTTAGTATTTTGATCATTTTTCTGTATAATAATATTATAATAAAATTAGTGTTGAGAAATTAGCTGTACTTACTCTGGATTTTTAACGTACATCAACGCAAAAAAACTAAATATATAATCGAATCTCGACTGAAAATTTGAAGGAATATGCTCAGAATTAACGTCAAATTCATAAAATTCACATTTGGGCATTACAATGTGTCTTCTGGCGTAATCCACCATGGTTTTGGAGAGGTCTGTGCCGATATATTCTTTATAATCTTCAGGCAAAAGAGGTCGAAGAACTTTTTGCGAATTACTGCCGTCGCCGATACCAAATTCTAGTATGGAAGGGTTTTCTTTCCAAACTATCAGATCTTTATGTTTTTCTATCATTTTTTTGGCTAAAACCAAAGTAATGAGAGAATTCTTTTCGTATAACTCTGGAAATGCGAACGCAGCCATATTACTTCAGAAAATATTGCTTAACTACTAAATTGTTTCCTTATTTTAATCAGGTTTTATAAAGTTGACATACATGGAAATTTGATTAATTAAAATTAAAATCATTTAAGCGGAAATATAAATATGTAATAACCGACACATTAATCTTATCGTTTCTAAAATATATCGACAAATGTTTTCGGATCTGATAATAACACACAAAGTGTTAATTAAATTGGGAAATGTCTTAAATGGTAAATGAAATAATAAAATATTATTTATTAAACAAATACGTTTGGGCAATTTGAAATTTTCGCAATATCTAGGGTCCTTGATACAACAACAAACTTTACAAATATAATGGTTATAAAAATTGATAACTTATTAGGTTGGGAGTAATGACCAATTTTAATTGAGAGGCTAGAATGTTTATTTTCAAAAAATACGCCTTAGATAAAATTTTATTTTAAGAGATAAAGCAACTAATTATTTATTCAAAAAGTTATTATTGTCGATAATACAACCTTGTTTTGCGAAAAAAAAAAACAAAATAAATATAAAAATGATAACAGAAACTTAAGTGTCATCATCAATAATTTAAGTGGCTAAGTGCCAGGGTTGCCTAACCAACAAAATTTCTTCAAAACAACCTCTTTTCGTTTATATTAATATAATATTAATATAATTTATGTGCAGGTCACAGTTGCATAGTCCTTAAAATTATTTGTTTTCGGTGCCAACATCTATACCTAAAGATTGGGCAGTTACGTCTAATATACATAAGTAAAGGGCTTTGATCTCCATTTATTAATTTTTTTTTAACTTTATCCTTGTTAGTTATGAGCAGGTAGGATTAATTTTGGCCCAGAACACTGCGGTCTCTTGAGTCTATTGTATTCCCCTGCTTTTTCTGTATTCAGAAATTATTTTTAGAATAGTCCTCTGTCTTTCGTTAGTTTTAATAATAATTTTCATACCAAGTGTTCCTGGAGCGTTATTTCCGGTTCTAGGCCGAAAAGGATAAGACGCCACCTAGAAAGAAGTGGTTCGCATTCGAAGATCACGTGGTATAAGGATTCTTCCTCTTCCATGCAGAGTCTACACGTAGTGGGACCATTGTGTAATCCCATCACATAAAGGTGTTTCAGTAAGCAGTGTCCCGTTAGTAATCCCACAATGGTGGATTTCTAAGGTCTTGCGAGTTGTAGTGCCTTAGTAGCCATGCGTGGGTTTGGTCCCCTAAGCATGAACTTACTGATTCTGTGCCCTCTTTATCTATTGCCAGAATTTGGTATTTTGTGGATGTTCATCTATTCAGTGCTTGTGGAGCAGGTTTTGTTTATTCCAAATACAGGTTCTAGACCTGTGAATGATGGTTCTAATCCCTCTCTGGCGGGTTCTTCAGCCTTTTCATTTCCTTGGACATCTTTGAGAGAGAGAGAGAGAGAGAGAGAGAGATATGCTTTATTGTCGTAAAAAAAATTACAAAAATTTTATAGACAAAGCGTGCCCTGGTACCCTGGTACCCTGGTACCCACGCTAGTTTTATCTTATTGAGGGTTGCCAGATCATTTAGTATTTCAAAGCAGTTCCAGACAAGCTTTGACTTAATTCTGTTTGAATCAAGAGCCTTTAAGGCTGCTGGGCTATCTGAAAGAATTATAATGGTTTGTTTTTAAATTCTCTCGTACACACAATTCTATTGCACGTATTTTAGCCTGAAATACAGTGGTATGTTTTCCCAGTGAGGCGATGATATTACATTTTGGTTTAACTCCATGTACGCCAGAGCCTGTTCCCTTGCTAGCTTTATATCCATCCGTATACTATACAAGACCACTAAGCAAGTATTTATCTACCTCCTTATTTACCACGTTTTTGTTGCAGTTGACCTGGAAGAGTATGTTAAAGGTTAGGCGGGGTGTCATGTGATTTGCTCCTATATTTAATATAGGATCATTTACTTTATGTGTTATTCTGGTATTCCTGTTTTTGGAGATGTTCATTCTATATGCACTCATTCTGACCTTCCCTTTTATGACTAGGTCAAGGGCTTGAAGGTATAGAATTATTTTCATAGAGGCTGTCAGTGTACTTCTTAGTGCTCCTGTAATACAAAGGCATGCCAGCCTCTAAACTCCTGAGAGGGTATTGAGGGCTATTTTCTGGTTTAGTTTTGGCTACCAAACATGTTTTTCAAAATTCCCGTCTCCCTGCAATGAGAGACATTTTACATTTTTATTGGCCACTTTTTGTAAGTTTTGGTTCCAAGTAAGTTTGCTATATAGGATTAGACCCAGATATTGTACTTGGTTCGTTTTGTTTGGCCTACCTTTAAACAGCGGCAGGTGCCATTAATTTAAAGAAGGTATTATCAAGATCTCCTTCTATGTCAAGAAATGTTCCTAGCACTATTTCTTGGCTACTGAGTCCCCTTTCTATATGCGGGGCCAGTGCTTCCACAAAGTTATGAAAAAGTGAATCACCATCAACGATTTTTTCTAATGATTGATTTGTCTGTAGAGATGTATTGCTTTTCCAGCTATTGTTGACAAAGCAGTACGAAACTTTGAAATATCGCTATTCTAACAAGGCAGCTGCGTTTGTGCTTGCGCTCATTACATGATAAGAAAGGCCTATAGAAGAGCCAGGTCCAAAAAGTATTTGATTGGCTAGTTTCTTGGCTATTAAATCAGCAAGACGGTTACCTTTCGATGTGGGGTGACCTTTGATCCATCTTAAGGTGGCTACATTGTTGATGGATACTTAAGCCAAAGCTTCGTGACATTCTAGTACTAACCCTAAGTAAATTCGTGGTCTGTTCAGGGTGAGTAGTGCTTGTCTGCTATCTGTAAAGATGGGCATGTTCCTTCCAGTGATATTGTTTCTGGTGATTTATTTTGCTGCTATGAGAATCTCTGTTAGCTCTGTTTGAACTACACTGGCACTATTGCTCACAGCCTATTTTGTGTTTAGGTTTAAGAATCTCGAGTATATTCCACATCCTGAGCCTTGTTTCGTTTTAGAACCGTCGGTGTAGATATAAATCGTATCTGCCACTTCCGGCTCTTCTATTTATTCTGTTATAACTTTATATGGCTTATGCATTCGGGTTTATTGTGCAATCAGGGTTTAAGAAGTAGTTCTAATGTTTACATTCCAGTTTTAGTACATTCCCCTGTTTGAGTTTTTAAAATCCCCACAGAGTTTATTGGATCTTTTGCTAGAATGCGGTAGAGTCTGCATGTTTCAGTTGTATATTCGATTTCCTGACAGAATGTGCTAGGCAACTCTAACAGTGAACCATTCATTTTAGTTGGAGTATAAGTAAAATTCAAAATAAAATAATGCGTTGTTTAATAGTTCAATTAATTATTAATTACTAATATAATAAGTAGTTGTTATTATTATAATTTCAATATCAGAAAGATTCATTATGTCTTTACTTTGTATTTAATTTATTTTGTGTACAATAATATTGACTATGAACCAATCACATCAATAGGTGTGAACAATTTCTACATCATCATAATCGCCTTTATCTTTAGCTATTTATGAAACCAGTTGCAAAATGCCGTATTTTATGTTACGAGTGAATATTTACGTAACGAGCAGAGCGAGGTTCCGCAATATAAACGAGTTAAATAAAACGAAATTTCGTAACAATATTTTTTCAATTTTTAACAGATTATAAAATTGTGTTAAGGTAAAAATGACTAAAATCTAGGCAACCAATATTACTACTATTTTATATTGTTCATTCATTTATTGACAAATAAAAAATAATATTAATTTATTCTCAACGACTTGTTGTAGTGTGTTTATATTGTTGTTAAAGATATTTAGATTTCAAAAAAGTGGGTTTTTTGTCGTATGTTGTGTTTTAATTATTTTGTGCTTATTTGAAATAGAATGGAAAATAAGGCCCAAACAACATTATTGCTTATAAGTTTAATCAAATTCTGTTTTTATAAGTCAATCTACCCTTCTTTGATATAAACTTTGAATAACTATGTATACCTATTATTGTTTTTAAAACAAAAAATCTGATGTGTCCAACACATGACTTTCCTATCTAGTTATTATAGGCTTTTTCCGGTTATTTTGTATAACCTATTGTAGCACCTCTATAAATGTTTAGAGGATAAACTAAATATATACATTTTCCACATACGCCTAAGTCGAAACATTTTTCTATAGATATTCATTGAAAACGAAAATACTGAAAAATTTAAATTTAGCACTTCTCCAGTTTTAAATCAAGTGTTTTTTTTATTTTTTATAATAAAGACAAAGTGCTGATTGGCTGCAAAATAGCTAGGTTCAATGTAAACTAACAAAAAAAAATTAATTTGAAAATAGGGATTTTAAAGTAATTTTATACATTAACAGAAAAAAGTAGAAATTTAAAATTTCAGAAATAGTTAAATAATATTATTTAATTTCTTTAGAAGCAAGTTTTTAAAAGAAATTGTATAATTAAACATTTTTTTATTTCAACAAATCAGCTTCAATTCAAAAAATGTTAAGAATAAAAATTAATATAATAAAATGTGTAAAAAAATCATTTAAATCGCTTGAGAAGTATAAATAAAATATTAAGGGTATCACTTCCTCTTAAAATATACCAAAATACATTATTCAGAACAAAAAAATCAGAAAAATCACAATTTTTTTGTGTTTTATTGATTTAATAAAAATCATGATTTTTTCAAACTTTGCACCACAATGATATGATTGTATTTTTAAGACCATTTATACTAGTGAGTATGGACTATGTTCAGCAACATTTACATCAACTTGACAAACCTTTTTATAATTGTCCGTAGATAATTAGTCTTTAAATTTATTGGAAATTTA